TTCTTCAGTGAGCTGAAAAATCGCCTTATTTTTTTGGAGGGGGCTGCTTCAAAAAAATTCTACGAAAAGAAGGTATTGGCTTCAAGTTTTTTGTATAAATAATGCAGCCCCACCAACCCCCCCCCCCCCCAAACAAACCAAAAAAATCTCCTTTTTGTTCCCTTTTTCTGGGAATCAAAGAGATATATACAAAGCAAAGCAATTAAGACATGATATTGCAATGACGTGCCGGTGCATGGAGGGGCAGGGGCAGAGGCGGCCCTCCCGGGGGTGGGGGCAGGGGGGCACAGTGCCCCCCCCCCCACTTTTTCAGATACCCCAAAAGTGCCCCTTTTCCTTTGACAAGTGTTCCTATTACTTAGTAAAAGTGCCCCTTCCCCCTTTTCACCTCTGACGTGTGCCCTTTTTTATTTTTGACACGTGCCCCTTTTCCTTCGGCATGTTCCCATTTTCCTTTGCAATAAGTGTCCATTTTCCATTCTCATAAATCTTGAAATAATCTTGAATAAGTGCCCTTTTTAATCTTTTTTTCAAACATGTCCTCATTTTTATTTAATTGTTCTAACTTTGTTTATTTATTTAGGTTTTTTTTTGCCTTGTAACTTCAATATATGAAATAATACGTACCAATACCACAACACAAGGAATGGTGTGGCGTGTCATCTGTACTGGTCTCTGCATGTTACAACTTTTTTTTTTGGGGGGGGGAGGGGGGGGGCTGGGGTTAACAGATTTATATCTGATCTTGTGTACCTGTAAATATGTACATACTATGAATAAATAATAAATAAAAAAACATAATTGCATTACCACAACGTGGCATAAAATTAAAACACGATTACACCTGCTTATTAATTGTTATTTTGAGTCAGCTTGACGTCATATTGTTGGAATTTGTATCTTGGAGTCGTAAACAAATAATGTTTATTGCTATTATGTGTGTTTTTCAAACATGTCCTCATTTTATTTAATTGTTTTAACTTTATTTAGATTTTTTTTGCCTTGTAAATTGCATATGAAATAATACGTACCAATACCACAACACAAGGCATGTTACAATTTTTTTTTTTTTTGGGGGGGGGGGGGGGGGGGGGGGGGGTGGGGGGGGGGGCTGGGGGTTAACAAATTTATATCTGATCTTGTGTACCTGTAAATATGTACATACTATAAATAAATAATGAATACAAAAATAAACTTGCATTTCCACAACGTGGCATAATACATAATGGAGACAATGTTGATGATGTAAGGGATGGAGATGATGAGAGGGATTGGTGAGGGATGGAGATGATGAGAGGAATGGAGAGGATATTGATAATGAAAGGGATGGAGACAATGTGAGGGATGGAGATGATGAGAGGGATGGAGAGTTGGAGACAATGTGAGGGATGGAGATGATGAGAGGGATGGAGACGATGTGAGGGATGGAGAATTGGAGATGATGAGAGGGATGGAGACAATTTTGATGATGTAAGGGATGAAGACGATATTGATGATTAGAGGGATGGAGACGTCTCCATCCCGTCTCCATCCCTCTCATCGTCTCCATCCCTCTCACCATCTTGTCACCATCTCCATCCCTTCCATCATCTTCATCCCTCACACTGTCTCCATCCCTCACAACGTCTCCATCCCTCACACCGTCTCCATCCCTCTCATCATCTCCATCCCTCTCATCATCTTCATTCCTCACACCGTCTCAATCCCTCACCAATCCCTCTCATCAACAGCGTCTTCATCCCTTACATCATCAACATTGTCTCCTTCCCTCTCATCACCTCCATCCCTCACCAATCCCTGTCATCATCTCCATCCCTCCCATTGTCTCCATCCCTCTGATCGTCTCCATCCCTCTCATCATCTCCATCCCTCACATTGTCTCTTTCCCTCTCATCATCTCCATCCCTCTCATCATCTCCATCCCTCTCATCATCTCCATCCCTCTCACCATCTCCATCCCTCTCACCATCTTCATCCCTCTCATCATCTCCATCCCTCTCATCATCTCCATCCCTCTCATCATCTCCATCCCTCTCATCATCTCCATCCCTCTCACCATCTCCATCCCTCTCATCATCTTCATCCCTCTCATCATCTCCATCCCTCTCATCATCTCCATCCCTCTCATCATCTCCATCCCTCTCACCATCACCGTCCCTCTCACCATGTCCATTCCTCTCATTGTCTCCATCCCTCTCATCATCTCCATCCCTCACCAATCCCTCTCATCTCCATCCCTCTCATTGTCTCCATTCCTCTCATCATCTCCATCCCTCACCAATCCCTCTCATCTCCATCTCTCACATTGTCTCCATCCCTCTCATCATCTCCACCCCATGTCATGTAAATTGAAATTTAATTATGAAATTTAATTCTTTGAATGGAATATCATTTCAAATTGATTCAATTTAGGTTTTATTATTTTTGTATGTTCTTTTTGGTTACTAAATAGTAATCAATTATACTGCTTTATTGCTGATTTTTTTTTTTTTTTTTTTTTTTTTTGGGGGGGGGGGGGGAGTGGAAATTCGTTTTGACCCCCACCCCCCCCCCCCCCCACACACACACACTTTTTCGTTGGGAGGAGGGCGAGTCCCCTGCCCCTACTTCTGGCGCCTATGATCGCAAGAATGGCTGGATTTCTGAAAAAGGGGCACCTACAAAGGGACACATCAACAATAATAAAAACCATTTTTAGATATTTGTATAAAGGCCTACGCCTTCGTTAAGATTGTGAATACATTACCACGAATGACATCAATATTTGTTTATTTCTTTACGTGGAACAACATTATTGTTTAAGCAACGTACTTCGCAATTTGGTGTGATGGACTGAATATCGATTTTCGAGCAAGCGAGCAAAAAAGTAGAAGGTCCCATTTGAAAAATTACATGACGAATATTAAAGACAATTTAATGAAGAAAGACTGAAAAGTTCTTTTATGTAATTATGAGTAACATTATAATTAAAACATCTGAGAAAGAAAAGTAGGCACTTATCAGAAGGGAAAAGGACATGTACAAAATGATAAGGGGGCACTTTAGGGGAACCTGAAAAAGTGGAGGCACAGTGCCCCCCCCCCCCAACCAAGAATGCCGCCTCTGACTGTGGGCAAAAGTGCGAAACTAACCCAGAAAATCTAGAAATAAACCAAATTTCAATTTTATTTCGCGGGTCAACTGCCCCCTTCCCCGTCAGTACGCCAGTGCTTCCAGTAGGCCTATCCTTCCATGAATTCCTACCATGAATTCCTACCATTAAAAATTATCAGAAGGGAAAAGGACATGTACAAAGGATAAGGGGGCACTTTAGGGTAACCTGGAAAAGTGGGGGCACAGTGTCCCCCCCCCCCCCCCAAACCAAGAATGCCGCCTCTGACAAAACTAACCCAGAAAATCTAGAAATAAACCACATTCCAATTTTATTTCGCGGGTCAACTGCCCACCCCCCCCCCCCTATCAGTACGCCAGTGCTTCCAGTATCCTACCATTAAAAAAATTCTGGGACAGAAAAATGCAGCTGTTATAGACCTCTAGATCAAAAGTATATTATTGTTACAAGGGAAATCAACTTTATTCTTTGTAGTGACTGTGTTTATAAAAGCACGAAAATCATGAAAAATGACAATTTCATTTCATTTTAGATCTAGAAATCATGATGGGAAAAAGTGTGGCGAGTTGTCCGAAAAGGCTGTGGCGAGTTGTCCAGGGTATTGTGGCGGGTTGTCCAGGGTATTGTGGCGGGATGTCCAGGGTATAGTGGCGGGTTGTCTTGGGGCGAGTTGTCTTTGTGGCGAGTTGTCTGGACCCCGATTCGTTGTACCGTTCTCGACTATTTATCCTTATCTGAATTCAGTTCCGTCCCCCTTCCCGCGCAAAGCGCGAAAGCTTTGATGTTTCATTAAATAATTAGAGAAAGAAGACGACTCGTTGTACCGTTCTCGACTCTTAATCCTTTTTCTTCCTACGTCCTCTTCCTTTTGGGGGGGGGGGAGGGCGACCGCCCCCACTGCCCCCCCCCCCCCCTCCCTGGCTACGCGCCTGCCCCTCCAAAATAAAAAAAAGAAGGCGATTCTTCAGCTAACTTCTCTTACAGTACTAGGCTAGGCCCTTACGAGAGATCTAGCTATTTATCAAGTCTTTAACTTTTAGGAGTAAAATATGATTATCTGATTATGAAGAAGAAAAATTCCATTCCTTCATTAATCGAATATTCTACTCTGAATGACTAATCTAGTATATGATAATGGTGTATAGATATAGATCTAGGTCTAGTTTACTCACTAAATCAAATTGGATATTCTACTCGGAATGAATAATGATAATACAGTAGATATAGATCTACTTTGATTAGTTATACTCACACATCACTCGATCAAATTGGGCAGTACAATCATGCAATGCAGTGCAGCAGCCCGGCACGAGTCAGTGAATTCCCCCGCCGACCCGGCCGGCGGCGCTGTACGGCTAGCTGCACACTGAGCCGAGCTGCTGCGGTAGCACTAGGCAGTAGTCTGCTAATTTACGGCCAGGACGAAAGAATGTGAACAAACATCAACCATCTCGTCTAAAATGTACTATATTTGACTTCTCAATAATGAAATCTGTGTCAGGAATAAAAAAATAGACCTTCATACGAGATAAAAATGATATTTTTGCAGTGGTTTACCGACAAAAACACTGCTCGAATTTCAGTGGTCCGAGTAGATACAACGCACATTTAATGTACGTGCGGCAATGCGGATTGCGAGCTGTGAGTAAATTGTCCGAAATGTCATTTTTTTGTCATTTTACCTAAAGATAAGTCATAGATTGTCTTCATTAGTATCATTTAACACAATTCCATTAAAGATTTAGGTTGGAAAGGGCATTATTAAGTCACAAAGAGCACAAACATATACACATTGGTATCTTTCGATCGATTAATCAGGTCGGGACATCTCGGCCCAGTTTTTCCAGCTGGGCCGAGTAGTCCCGTGGGCCGAGTTAGCCCGACTCCGAGTAGGCCTAGTCGACGATCGCCGAGACAGCAGTGGAAAATGGCAGAAATATGGCAGGAATTGAGCTAATTGAGCTTCTATAAGGCATTTTTACAGTGAGTGGAGTTATGAAATCATAGAAAGCGTATTTTAAGCTTATGAAATCTTTACATTTTTTTATATGAAGTAGTCTACAATCTTGACAATGCAGCTGTCATTTTGTGTCGCGTTTGCTGTTGTCGCGAGTGTATGTGTCGAGCTGGCGGCTGGCTACTTGCCCGTGGACGGGCAAGGATATGACAATGGACACGTCGGGAAGAAAGGCAGCTCATCATCGAACTTATATACAGACAACGATCGAAAAGATGACCCTCTTCCAAGTTGCACAAGGGAAGCTGACTATGAAATCAGCCAGAATTATATTATTAGAACAAAAGACTCAAAAACCAATGGTGCAAGTTTTGTTGCTGCCTTATCGGTAAGAACATTTGACGTTTGTTTGGAGCAGTGCTGTTTGAAAGAAAATTGTGACACTACCATTTTTGTTGGGGAAGCATACAGGAGCGAGGATACAAACTGCTTTCTTTTTGTTTGCCGACCAGAGGGTAAAAATGGGGAAAATCGTTGCTTGTTCACGTACCATCTTGGATACATTAGTAGTATGATGAAGGCATTGGGAGGATTTCAAGGATATGCACCTGATCCAATGACGACAGCAATACTGGATATAGATCGAGAAGGAGTCCTACCTGTTCAGCAAATAGAAACAACTTCAAAGCCAGCACCACCTCTGACGTTGACACCCATTGGTAAGAAGGGATCTCTTACTTTCAAATAATTTGCTAATTTTCTAGAAAACAGTTATTTGTTTCATCAAATTCAATTCAATTCAATTCAAAATGTATTACAAAAAATATATTTGATGACGTGACTAACTACATGTAAATTGTAAAAGAGCATACTGTGGACTGGCAGACAACTTCAGAGTTACCATAACAGATTATTTATGCATGCATGTAGTGTAGAAAATATTTCTTTCTTTAACTTAAAATGTTCATGCTTCACTTTGTTCAAAGTACTAGGAGAAAGGATTGCCTTAATTTTGATGTTAATGATGCCTGTAGTCTGTACTTGCACTTACTTACATGTAGCTCTCAATTTGTTTTGTATTCATTTTCTTGTAAATTTCTCAACAAAAACTTTTGTGATTCTTGAAGTCTACATGTAGACGTATAATTCAAAATTTCAAACACATATATTTTTACTACTGCTTCATTAATTCCTTAATCAACAACCATGGTCAAATATTTACTTTTCATAATTATCAAAGCCGAATAAAATTTAAGCTATTTCAACTTGTACATTGTACTTGTAAGTGAAGTTTGTCCTAGAGTTGTAAGTGGCAAGTTTGTGTTGATCAATAATCAGTTATAATTCTTCAGTATAAATTTTACCTTTTTTCTCCTTTTTCAGATTTTCCTACAATTTGTATGGATCTTTTTCTGAACCTTTCTGTCATTATTCTGCTCTTTTTAGAAGCAGCTTGATTTCACTATCAGTATGGCCTTCCCCATAATAATGGAAACAAAATTTGAAATCTACAATACATGTACATGTATATCTTCAATTTTGTTCTTCTTACAGAACATACTCCAGCTTGCCCAGATGGTTACTTTGAGTGTGATTCTGGGCAGTGCATCAATGAACTGTACATCTGTAACTCTGTGGTTGATTGTGATGATGGTTCTGATGAATACCGATGTAGTGCAGAAGATCCACTTCCAGCAGAACAGATTGATGCTGGTCAAAACATGCAGACAGATGGTGAGAAAGGGCTAAGTATTCTTATTATTGTGTACTTCATCACGAAAGGTACATTTACATGTACAGTACCTGTAAGCATTATCCACCTGCAAATCATAAGACTTACATGTACATGTATGCCTTATCCACCTGCAAATCATAAGACTATACCATACCATTCATCTTATGTTATTGGACATTAGAAAACAGGAAAGAGCAATAGTTTATATTACAGCTACTGTTTCCTATATTGTACATGTTAATGTATTATGTACATTCAGTTGTACATTTATTTCTGCAAGCATCATATAACATTGTGCATGTACAGGAAAATAGGAATGGTAATTGAGAATAATTTGACAAATTATAGCCTAAAGTTATAGCCTATTAGAATGTAAAGCTGGCAATAATTTATCTTGTTTATGTAATTGCCTCATTTTCTCTACATGTTGTGTAAAACTTTAAAATTGAAGACTTTTGAAATCATGATACAATTCTTCCATGTCTGCAGCAATTTTTGCATCAATTGGGCTATATCTGTGTGCACATTAACCATGCCTTTCCTACATGTAATACAGGTGTCATCGGACATTGGTCATTAACACATTTTTAATCCCTTTAACATTCCATAATCTTACAGACCAGAAACTGCCCCAGTCTCTTCTAATGCCTCCTACTAATCCACCTAACATGCCCAATAAATATTCTGGTGATGTCAAACCTGGTCCATCTCTGAATGGAGAAGCTGATCAGACTCTGGCTGACCAACTGAATGACCAATCGCCATTAGAGGATGGTGACGGGGATCAGAGTAGCATACAAGACACAGACCAGGGCGATCGAGAGAGGGAACTTTCTGACATGAAGATCAGGCTGGAGGATGAAAGCAGGGGAAGGTTGCCACAAGCTTTAGGGAACCTAGAACCTGATGAGGACAAGGATCAAGACCGGTTTCCAAAACTGGAGTGCCATGGTGCAACGTGCTATGAAATCCAGTCAGATGGAGGAAAGAGTAGGTTTGGGGATGTCTTAGATGGAGAACAAGCAGATGAAGAGGTGGAAAGAGGAAGAGGAGATGAAGAAGAAACTCTGAAGTCAAGGCCAGAAAACCAGCAAAAAAGCCCTGTTGACACACAACCAAGAAATCTGGAAAGAGAAGAATACCAGACGGGGGACTTGAGAGGTGATGATGCCTACCAACCTCCTCAGAGGGCAAAGATGCCAGATTATAAAGAGGATGCTGACAAGTATGTGTATGACAAGAATACAGGCGATTATAGAGTGGATGGGAATGACAACACACATGACATCAATGGCAGAGTTGATGAAATGGATGAGCAGAAAGAAGACAGGGGAAGAGAGGATAAATATGAAGTCAACAACCATCTTTCAGATGTTAAAGACAGGGATGCCTCCCAACAGAGAGTCGCGGACTATGACCCGATAGATCGGAAGATAGTTAGCGACCATGATATGGGTATGAAGCCACCTGTTGACGTAGGATCACCCAGAAATGATCCTTACAGAGATGAAGACCAGGACAGGCAGGATAGTCCTCCCCTTCGAGGAGATGGGACCAAGAACTGGGGATTCCCAAACAAGCCTCCCAAACCTCGCCCACCAACCCAGCCACCTGTTAGGACTAGTGTGTCTAATTCAGAACCCCGTCTGGGACCAGGATATGGCTACAACAGTGACTACTACAGCTATTACTACCAGCCTTATGGACAGACCCAAGATCACAGGTCCCAGCAAACACAGAATAACAAATGGCCCTCAGACAGGACCAGACAGGACTCATATGGTGGTAGAAACCCTCAGGGTGCTTCTAACCATCAGGCAAAGAACAACCCCTACAGAGTACCCGTACACGAAACCAATTATGACAAGTCAAACAGGTACGACACGAACACGGATGTCTACGATAACGGCAGACGGTACCACAAGGTGTCTGACATTCCTGCAGATCACAGAGGAGACAAGCTCCCAAGCAATGATGCAAAGACAAGGTCTCGGTACAACAGTGAGTAGTCCTTGCATGCGTTGATGGATACATGTGGTAATACATATTTGTGCTGCATTGTTACCAGTCAATCCTCTGTCATATTGTCTGCAGTACATATCGTCTACATGTAGTGTGCACTCTCCCTTGCCACAGGTTTTCAGTTGTGCATCCCACAATTTCTTTGTTATCGTGTTCTCAAAATAGTAGTGCAAGCACGTCTGTTCTGTCTGTATCTATGCTATATATTTACTGTGCTAAGTTTGCCTTTCTATTTTTACCTCACTGACATACTTTGGACAAATGGCATCCAGTTCCTAGACAAATATAAATCTTAATTCATAACAGGCCACAACTAAAACATGGCTTTGGTAAGCCACATGTAATTTATGAAGAGATCTTGTGGTGCTTCATTTACTGGTAATTGCAATTTTGAATGCAGAGGATCATGTCTTAAACATAATTCTTTCTATTTTGAATTCTACAATATTTCATGTTTTGCTGAAGTTGAAGTTTAATACATTTACTCAGAACAGAAAATGAACATGCTTCCATAATCCAAAAATTTAAATGTTTGTAGCCCTTATAAGGGAAAAGGGCATGCAAGTAGGAAATTTCATGTTGTGTTTCAGTAAATTACTCAAATCTATGTACATGTACATGTACTGTACATGTACAGTAGATGCATCAAGTCTCATTCAGATCATATGCAGTGGTAAACTGTAGCATTTTTTAAAATGATGATGTAAACATAATACATGTAACATGTAGACCTGTATCTATAACACAGAGCTCAGTGAAAACTATGAATAGGATTATAGGACCTTTGTTTCATGCAGTTGCCATTGATTTACGTGTTAATTTTTTTTGTTGTTGTTTTGCATCATATCTGAAAAATACTTTTATCTTTTGTGTGTACATGACTACATGTACATGTCTATGTATTGTTATTTTCTTTATATTTTTGATTTTGTGCCTACCGGTATACTGCTTACAGTAAAAAAAAAAATTAAAAAAAAAATTTAAAAGTATTATTTTATATTTCTTTGAATTAGCTTCTACATGTAAGTAAGAAATTATACTAAGAATATATTTCAGACTTTTTAGTAATTCAAGAAGACCAACTGTAAACTTACTGTTCAGAACTTCAGTCATTTCTACTTTGAAGCAATGTTCCTTTGTAAATATGTTCTGACATTACATTTCATGTTGTTGCTTGTTTTCTCTGTATTCTATATCATAGAAGATTGGTTAGTTTAATCAATATATTTTAGTTCTTCTCTTGCAGATTCTTCAAGATGCTTGTTTGATGGTTCACTTTACATGTTTTGTACAACAATATTCAATATACCTGTACCTGTAACTTTGCTAATACTTTACCTTTATTTTCTCAGGCAAATGAACTTTTTCTACAAATATACATTTACTTGTACATGTACAATCATAAAACTGTTTCAGACCTGGGGAAAAACTGCTGGTGCTGTAAATTATAATTTTAATAAGACAACAAAAAAACAATGTACATAATATTAATCTTTAAGAAAAAAAAATTGTAATTGGTATTGCAAATTTCTAATGTAACTCAATATTCACTGGTTTAAGAATAACCAGATCCTTTTTAAAGCGCATACAGTAGATAAACCATGATATGAACACTTAGTTTAGATTCTTTTTCTGTTAAATATATATTTGATGTAGCCTGTTCCTCACCTTTTATAATGTGCATTGGAAAATGATGACTTCTGATCATGGATATACTCTAATACATACATGTACATGTATCCATGTTTTAATGCACATCTTGATATGTTTGCAGGATTATGGATAAGCATTTTTATACCTCAGATGTTTTGATATCATGCAGTGATTGCCTTGTGTTAATCTCTTTTTCTGTAATATCCTAGTATAAGAAATATTGTTATTGAATAGTATGCACCTCCTTTGTTTTCTTGCACCAGTAAATAACCACAGTATACTCATGTTCTCTTTGTCTCTTGTCACATCACTATCGTTCTTCCGCTATTGTGGTCACCCACCAATTCCTGTCGCCCTTGCCAGGCCTGTGGAATACCTGGCCTTATGACTACTCCAGCAGCGTTCCCGATGAAACAGTCGTTGTCGACAATGACCTCTCTTTCCAGAACAGCAACAGGAATCGCCCCTCCTACGTGACTCCGTCCAAGAGTAGACCCCACCCCAAAGGGCACAAGCTTAATGGTATAGCTAACATTGCCCTGGCACCTCCTAACTCTATCCCCACTCCAACCATCACCCTTTCCTCTATCCGTCTTGCTGTTGTTACCCAAGGTAATGGACTGTTCATTCTATATCACACCCTTATTATCAATTGTACCCCATTTTTAATTATTTGTTTTTATTATAATCATCTTGTTTGCAATTTGTTTTATTCATTAGTGCTCCTGTATACTTTAGTCTCCATGCAAACACATGTTACATGTACATGTAGACTAACTTTTTTTTTTAGGGGACTACATTACAAAAAATATGCTGCATAACAGCATTGCTATTTATGGTATGCTTTAGTGTGCTTTGTGCTTTCATGTAGCTTCTTTGCTTAATGTAGCTTCATGTATCCCTTCATGTACTAATTTTTTTCATCAATTACAGTGTTACATTTATTTTTTACGATGAACCATAACGTGTCCTATTTTGCATAATTTACATTGTACTCTTAGTCTCTTACTAATAAACACATTATTTATGATTCCTCATTTACTTTTAATTTCATTCAAATTTCTTTATCATTTATCTGTTGCTGAATGTTTTACCACTTTCTTTTTTTACTAATTTTGAAGAAAAAAAATGTGGTCAATGAAAAAGTAGCTAAGCCAATCATAATGCTCTGAATAATTACATGCTGATAAATCATAAAAATATTCAAGAAGACAGGTAGCAGTGTTTATCATTTGGTAGCACAGCTATGCTGTAGAGAAAGTAGAGTTCATTTGTCATCTTGCCGTCAGCAGCTTTTTACATGTACAACTGTAGCAGCCATTAAATTTGCTATTGAGTTGCAGTTCATAACAGTTATTTTTTATGGTTTTCTCAGTGAGCTCAATCAAGTAATTTCCTATATTGGAGACTGAAAAAGATTTGTTTTTGTTTTTGGACAGATTTTTATTTATTTATTTATTTTTTTTTGGGGGGGGGAGGGGGAGGGTTAGAGTTAATACATAATGGAGAGACAATTAGTATATTTTGGGGCTTTTATTAACCCTTTATGACCAAAAATGGCATTCAAGACAACTTTTTTTGCAAATTATAGTAGTGTGTTAGTATCCTTCTGGTTGGTGCATTGTTGAGCAGGTCAGAACTATTATAAGCGTCTTTCCAAAACACATATGCATTTATATGGAATAGGCAGAAATAGTTCGATGAATCAGTTTATTATTTAACTTCTTCTCATGTGGAAAAAAAAATGCTATTGATATTATTTATTTTATTGACAAGACGTTGCTGATGACCTTTTTTTCTCTCAGCTCCTGTTCCTATTGGCAATGATGGCAAGGATGTTTCAGAGCTTGAAGCGGTCGTGACTGTGGTGGCTCCGCCCAATGAAGAGGTGACTGATGGGAAGGCCAAGGATGCTGTGAAGGTGAATGATACTAACGTACTAACAGAGGAAGGCAACGAGAATACGGTTGAGGTGTGTACCACTCTTCTGTGTCATCGGTGTTGGATTTTTATGACCCTTTTAGATTGTGGAAGAACAGCATAAATTCAATGAGCAAAACATTATTATTACTATTATTATTTATTTGGGATTCAAAATATAAAAACAATGAAGACATGTGATATGAACTAAGGAAAAAGTATGCTGCACTTTGCCTGGAAGGAATAAAGGAATGTGGAGTTGCTATGACCCTTAATAGGCCTTTCCTACTAACTCTTGGAAATGCACCAGGGGTAGCTATGAACATGTAAGTGTAAATAGAGAGAAAACAAGTTGATGTAAAGAATTTCACATCTTAATGTTTTCTGTCTCCTCCCCCCCCCCCTTCCCACTCCCTTATCAACCTGCACAGATGGTGTACGAGTCCCATGGTGGTAGCGGAATGCCCCCTCCTAGCAGTGCTATCTTACCCCTGGTCATTGGCCTGGTCATCACCGTCTGTCTCCTCCTGATGGTAGGATGTCGTCTGCGCTACATGAACCAGAGACTGCGCTATGGACGCCTCAAGACCAGCGCTCATGATGCAGACTACCTGATCAATGGCATGTATCTGTAATTGGAGAAGGAGAAGGCAGAGGAGCATTGAGGAGTAGGATAGGGGCTTCAGTTATGCCCCTTGCTGTACTTAAGTGGTAGCATTGGTTTGCAATCCTGTTAGAAATGGTTCAGCTTGCCAAATGAGATGTTTAAAAAGCGAAAGTACTAAAAATGGCACCTTGCTTGGTACCAATATTAATCGCATCTATTTTGATATCTCATACTCTGAACGCAGAGCATTGTATCCAATTTTCAAATCTTGGGTGTAAACTTTCAGGAGATGGTAATTTGAGCTCAGAAATGGACTTTGAAGTTACTCTCTTGGAAATTTCTTAGAATTGGCAAAAAAGCAGACAAAAATGCTGCAAACCAATGTTACTACTTTTAATACAGTACGTGTACCATTACCACCTTTCATAATCCATAATCAGTATCATTGTCATCTTTCTCCATTTTCCATGTGTTCCTATGATATTCAGGTATTTTAACCCTACTCAACCTTACCAGGCAATTGTTTGGCTTGAGTGGATATTTTTGCTGTTTCAGTGGCAGTAGATTAGTTTGTATCAGCATTGTAACAAACAATTGTAAATTCAAGTCGCTACATGCACGGCAGGAGGTGTGTCATGGCTTTGATGCTTCTTTTTTACCACTTAGTGTCAACTTTTTTTTTTTAATCGTGTTTTTAGAAATGAAATATCAGTAGATGGAAAGGTTTTGTTTTTGTTGACAGTAAAAAAAGATATGGAGAAAGATATTTTGATCTAGAGTGTTCATGACTGGAGGATTAATTTAAGCTCCCTGTATTTTGTTGTAAGCATGTGCACAAAACTACAAATGTAATTGCTTACGGTACAAATTATGGTTCTTTACTTCTGTTCTAGTTGTTGTTAATAAACAGGTGTTCATGATTATTTCTTTCTGTACAGTCTCCATTAGTTTGGTAACAATTTAATATTTGTTCACCTACAGTATGATGCTGGTGTTCAAATGATTGTGAAGTGATGTCTTGTCCAGTTTTAATACCACCGTTTACTTATGTTCATCCGTCTCTTGAAGGCCATGCATTCATTTTCAAGATTTTGAGATATTTACAATCGCTGTAATAATGTTTTTCACATCTTCAGATAATGGTAGTGAAAAATGGTACTCAGTGTTACAGAATTTGTCTGTATATATTTGTTACAAGTTTGGTGTACATGACTATTTCAGCGGTATGAGCCCTTGGAGGACTTTGGTACTCTGTTGTTAATCAGAGATGTAAAAAATATAGGGTTGAAAAGAAATCTTATCAAATTGATTGGGGAATTTTATTCTCACTGATCTTGAAAAAGCATGAAATCTGTATAATGAAAATAATACTTTCATGTCCATGTATCGGTAACATAGTCATTATGTAGGCACGAATATAAAGTACTTTTGTCTGCTGTACTATTGTCTATTGTACTACAGTGTATTTCAATTACTGGTTGACATCACATCATTACTATTTCGGGTGTATATTGGTGTTTTTTGTATTCAGTTATTCAGGTATTCAAGTTACATGTATGTTTAAACAGTTAAGTTGTATATTGTTAAATGTTATGTTGGTGAATTATTTGAAGGGTATGTAATAACAAAAAACACGTGAAAGATCAAGTTGGATTATCAACCTACTGGTATTCCATTCTAGACCCACTTCTTTTCATTTCTATCATAAGTGGCTGATTCGTGAGTTCAAAAAATTCTAAACTGCGTTTGTTTGTGGCTGACATTGTAATGGGAATGTGCATTAATATATATTCTTTCATTGTATTAAATTTTATCATTCCTTATTACGGGTATTGTCTTTCACTATATCATGGACAGTTTTCAGCATTACAGTTATTGTTCCATTTATATAAATAAAAAACCTTGCTTGTTGCAAAATTGGCTCGTATAATTTATGCATCTTCTTTAGAACGTAGATTTCCATAAAGAGGTGACTAGTTATGATTTTGTGTTCTAATGCAGTTGTTATCAGAAGGTATTGTTTGTTATGAAAACACTTCTTGAGTTAAATGTATGGGAAATAAATACGTTATGAATCACTTAAAGATATATATTTTTCCATTTCAGGCTCTGTTTATATATCTCTTCATTCCTTCAGCCATTTCAACCATCATATTATATAACATGCATTCACCCCCTTATATTAACATGACCATGTAACTGTCTGTGGTTGTTTTGTTTTGTTTTGTTTTTAAAAGAAGTATGCAAGTAGAAAATCCAAATATCACGTTTCATTATTTTTAGTGCAAAATAAATGTTTAAAAAATATTATTTACAGATGCAATGACGTGTAGAACTGGTGCAAAGAGAGAAAAAAAATTATGCAAGTTAAAAATACCTGTCTAAAGTAAAAAAATTAATACATTTCGCTGTGAATTAGCTTGAACTTAAAATACATGCAAAATGTAATTAAAACGTTAGTGAAAACAACTACTTTCTGCAGGGGATCATTCATTCAGTCCAACAATCTTTTATTGATCTCCTGCAACAACTTATATATCAATAAAATTAATCAAAAATATGTATCTTAAAATATATCATAAAGTTAACCAAATTTGCTTTTAAAAAGAACATTGGATAAAGCATATGTCACCCAAATATGTTGCTTTCACCATTAGAGATAAATTGTCTGTACATTGTGTTTAGTTTTTCATTTCTGCATTTTTTTTTTTCAACCAGAGGTTATTTTTGGCCATTCTGTCATACAAAAGTATGTATTAATGCTGTTTTTTAAATTATATTATTCTTTTTATCAATCTTAACTGCGAATTTCCACATTACTTTTTATTTCTGACAGACAGATTTTATGTTATTGTTTTATATTAGCATATTATGTTTTGATTTGTTTCTTTATGCAACACAAGAGACTTAATACATAGTTATTATTTTGTCGGAAATGTGCAAATATGTAGATTTTGCGCCATTTTTATTTTGTTTCTTGTATGCAAACCTTGACAGCAGCTATTTGTTAATTTCACTTCGAACAATATGATGATATGAAATGTTCATCCCATATTATTCACATATGATTCAATTTGATTAAAAGAAATCAATAAAGGGGAAACAGGTCCCTAAGACGATTTAATTAGTTTCTAAATCACATGAAGACATAGTCCAATGTAAACTTCTCGCACCAATTTTGTTTGTTGCATGCAATGTACATGTATTGTACGAAAATTATTATTTGCAGGAAAAAATTAAGGGTAGGAAGGATAGCATAATAGAATATAGTTACATATGTATATTTGATACACTCTTGTGATTTTACACTTCTAATGGTTCTGTTCAAACATGCCACAGTAACCTGCAGCATCTTTTTAAATCCTAAGTGAAAAGCAAGTGGGGTTGAAAAAAACAGTAGCTGTGAGCCCCGATGGTTTGATACATGTACATTGTACTTACTTATCTCTGTGTTATAAGATTCAACAATGTTAAGTGCAGCTATGTGAACAAACCTTAATGCACCTTGTAATGTACTTGTGAAATGTATGGAATACTGTATGCTGTTTGGACAAGAAGAATAGGGCATGATGTGTTGAGATTATTATATATTATACAATACCTACGTGGATCCTTGTCATTTGATTGGAGGATTGTTGGTCACATGATATTCAATAGATGTTATATTGCACGGTCGTGCATTTTTGGTTATATGCAGACTGCGTACCTCTCAGCCGTGCGCGCGCGTATCCCTGCGTGTATCTGACGCGAAGGCAATCTGAATGTAATCGAGAAGGCTTGACTCCAACTTTAATTTATCTTTAATATAAGGAGTTTACTAATTTGTTGATTAACGTTCTATTAGATCTTCTTCGATGTTGTATAAAACAAATAATGAATGTTTTTCATTCGTTTAATGGTGCAAATATTTTCATTCGTTGAAAGATTAACGTTAATTCTATTCAACTCGGCTGACGCCTCGTTGAATAAAATGTTAATCTTTCAACTCATGAAAATATTCGCACTATTGAACTCATTACCATTCATTATTTGTATACCGGTAACATGTTCATATGGCTACATCCTGTAGGCTTTACCCATAGATGGCGCCTGTCAGCATGTTTGAAACACCAGTATGTGAATGGAAATATTTGTATTAGATGCAAAACACTACTATTTGAACGAGCACGTGAAGGATGTTATATGGTATACATTATTTGTGCTTGGATTATAGTGGAGTACTCCCAATCAGAGGTTTTCGATAATGCAACTTTCTTTCGACACTAATGACATAAATGTACTATTTTCATGATATATTTAAAAATTGACACTTATTTATATCTTATATGGAGAGACACTTGTATGTTGTATGTAGATACACATGTATGTTAATTGATTGATTGATTCGTTAGAAACTAGGATGGAAATTGGTCACTCGTTATATCTTGGTTTTGTGAATAATTGGTGGACTTTGTATAATAAATTCTTGTATTTTGTTATAGTACTTGAATAAACACGTAACTACAATGTGTTTTGTCTGCTTGTTCTATTTACTCTCATGCTCTCATGATGTTTATTTATGAAATAACTATTCACGATGTCAAAAAGCTTCATACTTTCATGAAAGGAATATCTGTGGAATGTATGTGTTTAAAGACTGTAGCAATAACTACTATAATTGAGCGAAATGAAGTGGCTTTTAGAAGATAAAACGATATAAAACATTTGGGTGTTAATTTTACTTTGGTAATTTTCATTAAAAAAGAAGATTTTAGTTGGAAGGAATTACAGGTAATGAATATGATCATTTAAATATCTATATATTTTTTTTTTCTCGATGCACCTATCTCTTGATTTTCTCTAACTCTTCCTTTCCCTCTCAAATTTCACATCCCACACTCATCAGTTTCCTTGCATTGGTATTTCATATCCACCTACCCGAATACTTCCTAATATCAACCGAAAAGAGAGTGTATATCAGAAAAAATGGAAAGAAAGGACTTGGAGAGAGAGAGGGGGGGGGGGTGAAGATAGAAAGAAAGAGAGAGAGGGATGGAAAGAAAGAGGAAGAGTAGGAGGGAAGGAGAGAGAATGTGAGGTTTGGGATGAGGATGACGGATCATTCTTTTCTATATTAAGAACTGTATTTTTAGGCCCATTATACACTCGTGCATTACACCTGATTGATTAACATGCCCTCACAAAGAGGCGTGGCATAAATCTGGAGAGTGTTTTTTGAGAGAGAGGAAGAGCATCAAATCCACCTTTCCACCAGATCTAAAGTTAGAAGGGGAACAAAACCCATCACATGTATGATCATGGGAATCTACTTGGCAATTCTGAGTTCTTTATAGTGCGCCCTCTCATTCGGCGCTCAAGTGACAACGCCACTTTATCTTTAGGAGATTATGCAAGGGGAGGGCGTACGTACACACAACTTTTAAAAAGAACATATAGGAAAGTTCTCAATGCCCCTTCCCCCCCCCCCCCCCCTCATACGTGAACATAATGAGGTTTGTAGGACAAGTGGGTTTCATTAATTTTGGTAGCTCCTATTTTCTCGCCTATTTTCTCACATCGCAAACTATTGGTTGTTAGAAAACAAGTTAGAGATAACTGTAAAGAAAAACTCTCCCGTACAGTTAAAATAAGATTACCATTCTCGCAACTTCAGGACTTATATGGGAAGTTTCATTATGTTGACAGTTGTTTAGGACTGCATGATAATAAAACTTTGATAAGAAATTAAAGTACTTAAAGATAAACTTTAGTACTGGTAATGCGATTGCATTGTGAAAGAAAAGGTGTGGAAAGGATCAGAAACAGTTGATCATGTAGCATGTAAGTATTGCTGTGCACTGCAAGGTTCTGGAGTCATCAAAATCATAATAAATTTGACCGAGTCTTGGTAAAGTAACAAGCACTCACATAGAAAGCTATATATGGGACAACACACATGATGTCGGGGCTAGTACTACCTTGATTTCCTTGTCTTTCTATGCTCATTACTCAGCCAGTATACATTTTCTTCCAAAATTGTTTGGCACATGTCATTTATTTGTAATCTTGAACATTCAGTGTAAGTTTCGTTTGATTCTGTGAGAATTTTTTTTTTTTTTTACCAGTACTGGAGTTTATCTTTAAGTTAAAGAAAAATTGCCCGTTAAGTCATAATGATCAACATTTTTTTAAAAGTAATATTGTTCCCTCCACAGGGATTTTATTGATTCTCAAATCAGAATGAAATATGTAATTGAACATATTGTAGCGGTTTACAATATACAATCAAATATACAATGAAATCAATGAACTGTCAGGTTGATATCAAAATGCTCTGACATTTTTAAACACTTTTAAAGACCTTTATAAATAATTGCTGCGGTTTTAAAACTTTCTATTCAGGACTTTACGAAATAGAAAGTCGTCAAAACTAATAATTTTGTTGAGAATGATGTAGTCAACATAGGTATCTTGGGTGGGGTTGAAAGGAACCCGCTTATAATTTATTCTGTTAAGTCTTTTCGGATGTAGGACTGGTGATATGCAATGGGCGGTCAGTCGTGTCAACGCTATTGCATTACTGTCTGAACCATTAATCTCGAACTCAAAATAGTTCGTGCCTATCAGTCGGCGGATCTCTGTTCCTCATTCCAGGCATTGCTGCGCTTGCGCCGGGGCCCCCCGCAAACTGGTAGCGAGAGGCTAGGATTGGATGATGAGCACCCGACCCCCAACTCCGTGAGACGATGTATCTCTACTGGAAGATATAGGATGGCATGGAGAGAGCGAGACAGACATAGAGATGGGGAAAGAAAGTAGAGCGGAGAAAGAGAGAGAGGGAAATACAGAGATGATGGGGATGTAGCATCATCGAGCACGCATCATCCTCAAAAGTAAGCCAAGTTCTCAACGAGTTAACACAAGGGAGGGCAAGTGCTGTCCAACGGCTGGTTGATTATAGAGGAAGACCGCTAATCAAAGCCATGGCCTCCGTACTGCTTTATCCGATGGCATACGGCCTGGAACTTTTTTTGGCGTCGGCACTGAGTACTCAGATCGCTGTGTCCCTCGCAGCCGTGCTCGTGTCGACGGCCGCTGTCATCTACTGCCAGAGAACCGTCGCTTTATGGTGGTCGTTGACGTCGACGACAACGCATACGAGAACCAACATCATTCGACCTCATGCCGTCGTGGATGTAACGGAAGTACGATACGAACCCGAAACTGACCCACCTCGTGATAGAGGTGGGGGTCAATCAGCCCCTAGCCCGGACCTCCCGATTGAAGAAACAGAGAAAGAAACAATCAAAGAAGATTTGATATCGGCTGCGACCACGCCCATCTCGACTGTGGCCGCCACGAGGCGCAAACTGAGTGACGATTCGGAGGGCAGTACGGAGGGTAGCCTCAACGGGGAGGAAGGAAGCGAAACAAGAAGGAGAAAATCAAGTTCTGGAAGCAGCAAGGAGGGTCAACCAGAGCAAAGCTGGCTTAATAAACAACCAGCTTATATGCACCGTTCACATTGGGTGGCTAAACCAGCTCAGCCCAGGAACAACCCCCTCCTCTATAAACCATCCTTACTACGCCGAGCCAGCGCAGACAACAATGGCCAGCATACTCACCATCGCGTGGTCGACTTCGCCACAACAACGGAGATCACCCGCAAACGAGTGGAGGAAGATGATATCCAAGATGGGGGCGAGAGGGGAAGGGAGAAACCTCGGAAGCCTACCCTGGATCGAAGGTCATCGTTTCCTTCTTCTTTGCCCTCATCCTCGGCCACCTCTCTTTTGCAGTCTCCAAAGATGCAGGCCTCGTCATCACTGGTTACCACCTTGTTGACGTCATCATCTACGTCATCCCCCACATCCACGCCATCTTGCTCGGTGGCTACCCGCCAATCGTCGTCTTCGTCAGACGATCACGGTTCAGACTCCGCAGAAGGTAAGTTCTCCTATTCTCATTCTCTTTTATCCTACTCATTACAAATTAAATCTTGTTGTGCTATTCATGTATCATTAGAATTACCCTCGACGATAATTAGCCTATCATTAGCTTATTTTGAATAGAGCTGGACATCGGCTCACTTTGGCGCGCAATGTTTTTCCGATAGCTCACCTTGTTTCGACTCAGACGACAGGGCGTACAAACAACTAGTGACATAAGAGCGATCGGATCGTTTATCATCGCATACCATCGGTGCAAATGATAGTTACCATGAACGTCAGTACCTGTGCAATGTTGGGATTTGATTTCTTCTTTCGTCCTGACGGTTGAAGTAAGAGCTCTCAAAGCTTAACATCGGAATACCTGGCATTGCTTTGTATCTAGCTTCGCGAGATCACTGGATGAAATACCGATTCATCTTCTCTAATGGACCCGTACTTGCCTCCACCTCCTCCTCCTCTATACTGACATCATCTTCTATTTTTAATCGAATGATGTAGTTCAATTAATGATATATTTCAGGTATGACGTAGTCAGAAGTGACTCCCTATATATAGAGAATGCTGAATAACAGTCAATACTCCTGCATATAGAAATATAAAATTTCTTGCAGACGAAATGTCGACAAGGCAGATGGGAGTTATGTGATTTCAAACCAAAATGTGTTCATTATGTAATTGAAGTCTTTGAAGAAAAAAAAATACATTGAAAACTTCATAGAATCGTAATCTATTAAATTGAATCATTTTTATCGCCGAATGTAGAAGAACAAAAGAATTCAAAGTTTTAGCAAAAAAGTATCAACGCTTAGTAATTTAAATGTGTGAAAAGGATTTTTAATTTGCATTGAAAGTCTAATAATATCGCCAATAATTATTCTCAACTGATACGAAAATATGGGACATTAATAACATGTCTTATTTAGAAGAACACCCATACTGTCAAGTATAACAAATATACAGTTCAATATACTTGGTAGGATATTCGTAATGTAGACAAACGCATGGTAGTGGGAAATAGCATTCTTAACTTGTTTATTTAGCTCTATACAAATTAATGTTCATCATCTTCATGGTGAACTTATATAGGGGAAGTAAAATCGTGTATATGCAACAATGCTAATGCTAATCGACAGGTCGTCCGAATTAATGTCACGATAACGACTACTGAGGTAGAAACTGACTTGGTTGGAATGTAGTAAATCGACCTATTGGTCACGCGAGGAACATTGCTTTGACGTCATGGAGACTTAAATCACATTTTATTGATGCGTTTCTGATCGTGTGGCAATGAGCGCTATATTGCTCACTTCCACAACAAACAATGCAGTTACGACCGATGGAGAGCGTGGGTGAGAGAGAAAGGTGAGAGAAAGCTAATTGAAAGAGAGAAGGGGAGAGAGAGAGAGAGAGAAGGAAAAGAGAGAGAGAGAGAGAGAGAGAGAGAAGAAAAGAGAGAGAGAGAGAGAGAGAGAGAGAGAGAGTATAGTTACTCATGTGGATTAGGGGGGTTGTGTGCGTTTCGTGCGAGTATAATGAAAAGGGATATTCAAAAAGAAATAATTAGCTTTAAAATACAATTTAATCATCTTTAATATTAATTACTTTTCATTCACTTTCTGATGTTTTTTCTCAATTCTGTAGCGAGAGTCTTGTGAAGTGTAAACATAATGCACATTGCGAGCTGTGTTTATGTAGGTGTGATTCTCTTTCCTTTCAAAAAGCATTAATGTTTACCGACATTAAAGATTTTAACTGTTCTACATTTTTAGTTCTCTAAAATGTTAATTTGAAGTAAACAAAGAAAATATTTTATGCACACGGGCGATGACGGACCGGGGAGGGATGGGAGGGGAGGGGGGGGGGGGGCGACAAACCAATATGTCACTCAAACAAGAGAAAAAACTGGCGCCATGTCCATAATGCTACTGAGGAGATGACCGAAAAAAGAACGACGTTAAATTAGTCTTGAATGGCAAATTTATTAGTCATTTTTGAATTGGTTTGGCGGTACTTGGGTATAAATTTCTGGTAATACAAGTGCATTTTGAAACTAAATTTAAAAGGTAAGTCATCCTGAGTCGTTTATCAGTATTTCGTTCCTTACGTCGGGTTTTGTAAGACCTTGTATAGTTTTGCTTCCGCAGTACATTAACTGCAGCAATAATGTTATTCTTTGTAGGAGCCTAAAGATAATTATTATTTGTTGATGCTGCATCGTTTTGCTCCATTTCGTCTATTTCTTCAATTATTATCTTGCGTGAGTTTGGGTCCACACATTTATGAAAAGGAGCATAAGGAATGTAGCTTGGAGAAAAAAAAATGCATTCAAAAGTGCAATTGCAGACCGTTCGACACCGAATATGCAATCAACTTTAGGATATCCTGAGCGGATAAGCGAAAGACCAAACTGGATCTACCCAAGATTACCCATCACTCAAAGGCTTTCATACCGCTGCTTAACGGTCGAATTCCGTTTCAAAGCTAGAATAAGATAGAAGAAGAAGAAAATCGCGTCTTCCATCTCGAACGTGAGGAGGCAGGGATCACATCTCAAATGGTTTGCCATCTGACTGGTTTCCTTCCGAAGTGATACCTATTTTGAAGAGGGAGATAGGGTATAAGATTTTGAAACCTCTTCATCTAGCAACGGTATCTCCTACCAGGGGGGGTTGGGCGTTTTGAGGAAAAAGACGGATCAATTATTTTTTCCAAAGTGTGAGCCAAAAGGTTTTTTTCTTTCTTCAAAAGGCAGATAAGGCAAGGTCTGATAATTCAAAATTTGGGTGGCTATGGGGTAAACGAATTCTCCGAAGAAATTCATAAAATGAATTGCAAATAACATGAATAATTATTGAAGGATTTATCGAATTTTCCCGAATAGTTTACAAAAAGGGATCCCTTTCTCGAACGTTGTTATTACTATAAACGGGTTACCAAAAAAAAAAAAAACGGGGGGGGGGTCCTATGACTTCAAAATGTGACGATAAGCTTAACAATTCGTCGAGATTAACAGTGGATTTGCATACAAGAAAAACAAAGAAATAAAGCAAGCCCTCAGATTATGATCGGATTATGAAAGGAGGGGTGCAGTAATGGTACTGGAGAACATGGCAAAATGTAGTTATGGCATAAATACACCATTTTTGACATTTTAATCCAAGATTCTAAATGACTACAAAACGAAACAAAAAAGCGAAGAGGCATCTTCAAAGAGAAAAGAGGATGGGAGAGATAAAGAAAAAACAAACATTTAGGGGGTAGTTGAAGTCGAAAAAAAACTAAGGCGTGAAGTCAAAAGGAGGGTGGGAGAGGGAGGGAGAACGAAAGAGAGGGAGAGAGAAAGAGAGAAAGTCAGAGAGAAAAAGAAAGGGAAAGTAGGAGAGAGGGGAGAAAGCGAGGGAGAGAGGAGGAGAGAAAGATAGCCCCCTCCCCCACAAAAAGAAGAAGAAGAAAGTGACAAGGAGAAAGGAAGAGAGGGAGGGGTAGCGATATGAAAGGCAACCTAGACTAAACACAGAGACAGACAGAGTTCTGAAATAGTTAATCATTAAGACAATAATCTATTTCATATCTCCGTGATTAGCATCATTATAGAAATAATCCCTATGAGGCTATGTTTGTTTGCCGATGACATACAATAATAACTGGTCTTCAATCGGGAGATAAATATACCATACATCACGTCATCCTTTACATCTCGGGTCTCAATCCATGTCTCATGCAGTAAGACCAGTCATTAATCTTCTGGCTTGTTAAAAAAAATAGATAGCATCTCTTAAAAATAGTCCCTAACCTTCTCAGAACCCCACCGACAACATCTGTAAGATTCCAGAGTGAGACTTCAGTTTTGAAGTAAGATATGGCTACAAAATGTGTCCGCCGAAAGAGTGTCCTATGTTTTCTAACGAGCATTGCTAGTAGGTATGTATTCAACCAAGGAGTTGAATTCAGTGCAAGCGTGTAAACAATTTCTAAGCCAAACAAGAACCCAGTTTATGCGTTCGGTTGAAACATTATGAGAAAACCCTACCTCAAAGAGAAATAAAATTACTTCGAGAGAAAGCGTGCGACAAATCGTCTCTCTCCATCTATAACGCTCGCAGATATAAACTTGATTAAGATTCGAAGCGGTGGAATTAAATTGGGAATAGTGGACAAGAACCTGAATCAAACACGGAGGCGTGAACTAGATTCAATAATAGATTTAATTTCTGCTGTACGTAAAACATCTCCTCATCTTTTGATAACGTACAAAGATTTGTAATCGTAAAATATATCTGTATAATGTGAAGAAAGCAACGGTGCAGTCATACAAAAGAGTGATGATTAGAACAAAAATTACAAATTGTTAATATTAAGAGAGACGATCCCTTTCTGTTGTTGTTGCTTTCTCGGAGAGAAGGAGGACACGGGTATGATTGGGGACATCTTTTGACATCGCCCTTGCACGTGTTTGAAACTAAACGAAACGGCATACCATAAGCCAATGTCGTGCTATATACGTAGTCCACGTCGAAAGGACTCCATCAGTTATAGTCAGTTTTAATTGACACGACTACTTTAGATACCATGATGCGACCGGAGATAGATTGTGACGTCAGCACTGTTGATGGGAGCAGCTGTTATCACGAGTTATCGGATCTCCCAGGAGAACAAGAACAACTTAAAGGGAATGATATTAAGTTGTTTAAGGAAGGAGGCGGGTACTTTTCATCCGATCCTCAAAGAACGACTTAAAGGAAGATGTTAAAGGAAAGAGGCTGGTAGGTTTCTTATCAGATCCCCTAAATAACGACTTAAAGGGAGTTGTTTAAGAAAAGAGGCGGGTACTTTATTTTATCTTATCCCCAAATATAGACTTAAAGGGAGTGATACTAGTGTTGTTTAAGGAAGAAGGCGTATTATATCCGATCTCACGAAAGAAAAAAGACCGACATCATGGGGGCGATAATGTCGTTTAGAAAACAGACAGATTCTTATTTTGTGAGGAGGTTA